CTGGCCAACTACACTGGCAACGTGGCCGATTGGGCTCAAAAGGAATTCGAATTCAACCCCGAAAACCGCTACAACTACATGCTGGTTTTGATCGGCATGTGGGTCATCTTGCAGACATGCATCTACTTGACGTTGAAGTATGTCAGCCACTTGAAGAGATAGATAAACGTTTTGTATCAGATTTCAGTTCATTTTCGTAAACTTCTCTTTGTAATCGAAATGCTTCTGGCACGCCGTTTGTAGATGCAATGGCGTGATCGGGAGGTACAGTATGACGAATTTGTCAGAGCAGCTTTTCTGCCTCTTGGAAGGAAGGAATTTACAGTCCAATCCAATTTCCATGCGCGAGTTTTGTCAGATAGTGATAGGAGGGTTGCCATGTCGCCACATTAAAAGTTGAAGACATTTTCGATCCTTGTTTTCATCCACCGAAAGACGATTATTCGACAATGTAGAATGATTGATGACGTGCATCATACCGGTACGAATGTGGTGTAACCGGCAAGTACTACGTAGTAATGAACATCAAAGTACTAATAGTACTCTTGATAGTACATACCACTCCGTCCCAAATCACTGACACGTTTGATGTTTGCCACATAGTGGTTTTATGACCAATCATTGGATTTGTGTGAAATTTGTACCAATCAAAAAAGAGCAGAATCTTGGCTATAACGTCATATAATTATATTGCCATTCTTCCAAAAACTGCGTGTGTATTCTTCAAATACTTCGTAGTATAATCAGCCGCTCAACCCAAAATTTTCAAATGTTCACCGGACTTGAAGAATGTAAGGAGATATATCGAAAACAAGAGGTGGCTTCGGCTGTACCTAGTACTGGTATACAGTAATTGAATTCCGAGGAAGGTGTCAATGTCACCTAAATACAGTACTGTATACCCTTGTCACCTTGGCTCAAAAGTACTGGATAAGGTAATCGTTTTTATAAAATTGATTGATTTACAACTACTACTAGTAATAGAATGTCCAAACGTGTCAGTGATTTGGGATCATGTTGGTAACTAATACGTACTAGTACTAGTACTACTGGTATTATGGTGGTACTACGTAGTAGTAAGCTAGAAACGATTGTATTTTTTTGTGTCGAAGCCCCAGATTTAAACAAAGTATTTACTGTTACCTACATAACGTCGCATACTACTGACAAATTAAACGCATACTACTGACAAATTAAATTAAAATACAAAGTATTTTAATTTGTCAGTAGTATGCGACGTTATGTAGTTAACAGTAAATACTTTGTTTAAATCTGGGGCTTCGACACAAAAAAATACAATCTTTTCTAGCGTACTACAGAACTACGTAGTACTATAATACCAGTAGTACTACTGTAGTGTATTAGTATTCATAAAATGGTATTTCTTCTGAATAAAAGCAACATAATTGACTGTGAACTTCAGCCTTGCAATTTCGAGGGGGTGTATGATTGGTTCGTATTAAATCACCACAGCAGAAATGAAACTAGTGTTGGCTTGAGAAGTTTCCTTGTAGCTCTTCAGGTAGCACACGCCATTTGCCCAGCTAAACGCGCCACAGCCGCTCGTTTGACGGCAGCTCGCACAGCAGTCCGCCACGTCAGCCTTCACTTCCGACAGGCCGTTGCCCACGTAGTACACATCCGACTCCAACGCACTGCACTTGTCCACGCGGGCCGACACCACCCCAGACGCCACCTTTGTCTCCGCCCGACGACCCTTCAAGTAGCATACGCCACCTAACCAACTGTACGCATTGCAAGCTTGGTGGATGTGGCACGCTGCGCAGCAGTCGGCCGCTTGGTCCGCCGGCACCTGCGCGACGTTTTGGCCCACAAAGTCCACGTTCGACTCGACGCCGCCGCACGACGACGGTCCTGCCAGGAGAAAGCCAGCCTTGGCTCCGACCACGGACGTCCTGGTCCCCTTGGTGTACTTGAGCCAGCACGTACCACCGCTGTGGTTGGTCCACCCGAACAGCTTGCAATCCGGTGTATTTTCACAGTCCCCACAGCAGGATTCAGCATTTTCCTGCTTGGTCGAAGCAAAGTCGCCGCCAACATAGTGCGTGTTGTCTTCCAAGGTGGTACACGTGGTTAGGTAATTGGTCGGGTTGAGTACTCGGGCAGACTTGGAGCCTTCCTTGTACACCCAGTTGACCGGTTTGTCTTCAGCTTTGAGCCAGCACGTGCCTCCGTTGTCCTTCGTAAACGAAAACGCATTGCAGTTTGGAGTGTTGCGGCATTCGTCGCAGCAGTTGTCGGCGGTGCGTTGGGACACCGCCTTGACGTCCTTACCGCTGATTTCATAGTAATCGTTCCAAGCGGTGCATTTGGGGGGCAGGGGGGGTAGAGTAGGGCGGGGGGTGCTGGGCGGAGCAGTCACGGCCTTGAAGGCGTTCAAGCGGCCGTAGCCAAAGAGGTTGTTGGGGTATTGCGTCTTGGAAATGCCTCCGCAGGTCTTGTTTGGCGGATATAACCTGTCGGTCTCCACGTTGTTGGTCAGGGCCGCGTACACTTGGTCGTACGTGGCGTCTTTGTTGTCCGCGGACAAGTACAAGGCGATGGCCCCAGAAACATGAGGCGCAGCCATGCTCGTGCCAGATTGCCACGTAAAGCTTCTGTCATTGTCGTTTGATACGGAATAGATGTTGAAACCTGGAGCCGAAATGTCGGGTTTGAGGCGGTTCCTCACGGAAGGTCCTAAACTTGAATCGCTCGCCAAAGAATCACTGAGGTCAGTGGAGCCGACAGCAATCACTTGAGGGGACGCGGCAGGATAAAGCGAATACGCACAGCCTTCAAATCCGTCGTTGCCGTTCCCAAAAACGGGAATGATTCCCGCTTCTCTCCACGCTGCAATCATATCTTCCATCCAAAAGTTCGTTTCGTACCACCCCCAGCTATTGTTGATCACGTGGGGCGCCTTGCTGCAGTCGCGGTTGTTGCCGTCTTTGTCGTGAGGGCAAAGCATGAATTGAGCGCATTGAGCGATCAAATATTGATAGTGCAATGCCGTTGTGTGCAACCCCTTGCACGCAATCCACTGGGCATTCGGGGCGACACCAATACCTTGCGTTCCCACTATGGTGCCCGTGACGGAAGTGCCGTGGCCCGTGTCGTCGTTGGGCAGCTCCGTCTTGTTGTACGGGTCGAACCAACCGTATTCACTTCGCCAGTTCGACTTCAATGACTCGTGGGTAAAGCGAACACCGGAGTCGATGATGCCCACGACAATACCGTCGCCCTTAATGCCTTTGTCCCACAGCGCCGGCGCTTGGATCTTATTGACCCCCCATTGGTTGACCGCGTCGACAGCACTGGCTGGTTGGTCGTCGATTTTGTAATCATCGAGTGCTATCACAACTGGCTCATCAATGGATTTGACTCCCGCCAACGCCGCGATCTCCTTGATGAGGTCGGCGGGGGCCTTGTCGATATACATGGAGCAGTCGATCCATGTCGTGGCCACTTCCACAGCCGTCGATTCAACTTGTTTGGCCAGGAGCGACTTGACCGCCGCCTGTGACGTGGTGGTGTGCTCCTTCAACGAATCAACCAGCGACTCGATGGTTTCGGTGCGAGACGCGCCGGCCTTGAGTCGGCGGCGGTGGGTGTCGTGAGCCTCGTCACTGTGAAATTTGACCACGACGTTAGATTGCTTGCTGACTTCCAAGTTGCGATGTACTTTGACTGAGATCTTGGCCGTGACGGCAGTGGCGGCGGCGGCGAGGGCCACATAAAGGTACTGAACCATGATGTTGATAGGTCAATGGAAATTGCAAAATGAACAGCAATGACTTCCGAGCTGGGTGTACCGCAAGACTTGCCCGTCGCGAAATATATCATCAGGTCAACTGTTGTGGGGTAATCGCCAATATGTTAGTACTTCCTATGTTCCACGTTACTGCCGACATTGAACTTCCCTTCGACCCCAAAAAGTTATTTTCGGACCAAATTTAATGAATCCTACCATTTCTGAAAGAGAATAAAAATATAAAGGTAATGTCTATTGGCCGTAACGCGCAAATCAATCAATTTCACGGTGTAATTTTGAATCGTCATCGGCCATCAGAAAAAAATATAAAAATAATAAATTATTACGGGCCTTGGCCACCAGTGGTGTGCCGTGCAATGGAGGGCAGATACAACAAGCGCTTGAAGCTGCGGCCTTCGGAAAAGTATCGTTAGGTGACACATAGGTACTTTATGCATGAACCTCACCAACCGCGCTTCATTTCTCGGTGTTCTTCACCGTGAACCCGAAGCGCTCGTGGGGGGTGTTCCTCCTGCCAAATGCATCATGCTGTGGCCGTGAAATTTTGTTTTTGTCACAACTTCAGCCAATGATATCATTGTATTTTACAGATTAGCCAATCATATTCAAGTATAATGTCTGCAGTAACATGGAACAAATGCATTTTTCATATGTCGGTGGTAACATGGAACAGAGGAAGTATATCAGCAAACCTTCGCCAAAATGTGAAAATGTGAAACCTTCGCCAAAATATGAGCGCACTTAACAAAAATAAATAAAACATATGACACTTTGAAACTTAACTTCCAACAGTACCGGTACGTATTAATAGTATTAATACTAACATTAGTACATGTTAGATACCTTGAGAATGACAACTTGTGGAGTGGGGTGTGGATTTCATTCAGCCTACGCCACAAACTGGCAAGGCTTCACTGAGGACGACTGGTGTCATGAAGTACACTGTGTCCACCAGGCTTACATTATATTGCCTTGTGGCTGAATCGCTGTACTCATGCGCTGCGTGCTGTAGAATGGCAGCAAGGCTATGCCCTATCCTCTATTTAGACCAGCTATTACCATCGTCAACAAACTCACCAACATGACTTGGTCTGTGACTCTATTGGGACAGGAAAAATCCATACTCACAAGTCCTTATTAAACGTAACGTATGTGTAACAACGCCCCATGTTCTGTATTAACGATTGAATTGTTGTGATAACGACGAGATTATTGTGATAACGACTAGTTTTGTGTGAAGACGACTGGTTTCGTGTGAAAAGCGACCAGTTTTATTGTAAAAACGACGATTTACATGTGCTAGCGCCATATCTGCTGTGTGTGAATCTAAATTGATGTTTCTTTGCTTTTTTAATATTTGTTGTGACGAAGATATTACCTGTAAAAGTGAAGGGAACACGGTGGTAATATTCGGCATTTAAGTTTGAAGGTACTAATTTGAGGTGATACGTTAGTTGGGATTGATTGAATGCAAGTTGCCCCCCCCTTTTTTAATGTTGAAAGTCCATCCCCCATGACTACATTGAATTCTAGACTGTAGTTTGAGGGGGTGCAAAGATGTATTCATAGCGCAAATACACAGGAAATCAACCTGCAAATCTCACTGCATTGAATCATATTATCATTAAAGCTGGGAGTTTTAAGTCACTATATTGTTGACATTATCCCCCAAAGTTAACAAGGTTTCGAGGTTCGATCTCCAGAGAATTGACATCGTGACTACTACACTATTAATAGTGTAATTCGCAAAGTGCTGTGGATATCGTATGTATTCACAATCATCTAGCACAAAGCACATGTTCCTACGCCCGACCGAAATTATGCCATACGTCACCAACTACAGTATTACGTAGTATATATATTATTTTACCAGCTGAACACGGCCCCAATCCCAACTTCATTGTGTACATACATATAATAGCGATGTAAGCCATGTACTGTACTACTCTGGTCTGAAATGATAGTACCCTTTGACTTCTTATTTGCGGGATTTTTCTAGTATTGCTAATTCAGTGCATCTGATTGGTGCGTTACATAGCGCGAATACTCTACTTTGATTGGCTATGTTTTGAGTGTTCCAATTCGTTTTAGCTCAAACGTTATCGCTTGTCAAAGTTGGTCTCGCAAGTAAAATTCACACACACACACCCGCCCAGACATCATTATACAACTTGAACCATCGCCATCGATACAACATATACTCCATATTCCTTACTGATGCCGACTGCAACGCCACCAAGCTCCCAACCATCCTCTGCTTCCTCACGGGGGCTTCGGACTCTTCGGCACGACGACCGCGTCGCCATCTACGAATCACTTCTTGAGAGCAGTTCTAACGGTCGCCTGCCACGAGGAGCCTTCGTTCAGCACGCTCAGACACACCAATGTCACTGGAAGACGATTTCACGCGTGTGGACACGGGCACAGGAGTCTCTTCGCCGTGGCAGCCTGACGGCTGACGTCGCCTCAAAAATCCGCGGTATAAGCTCTATAATTTAATTTTTGTCATAATTATACCAATTTTAAAGAGTATTTAATCTTACGAGTTTACATATTAAGGTAATTCTGGAAGAAAACGAATCCGATCACATGAAGAAATCAAGATGGCTGTCCAGGGGGTGGACATGTATGCTCGACAAACGCTCCGGGCGCTTTGGGCTCACAGCGGGATCCCCAAAACCACCCTCGTCCAACACATGCGAGACGAAAAGAATCTGCGGGCAAGGGCCAGCTACGTTCGCCCTCACCTCACGGACGCCAACGCTGTCACAAGGATGAAGCACGCGATGAGCTTCCTCCAGCCCACGTCAAGTGGGAACCAAGTTTTTGCCGACATGAATTCGTACATTCATGTCGACGAAAAGTGGTTCTTCTTGACGAAGGTAAAGAGGAAGTTCTACGCCTATTCAGATGAAGTTGTCCCTGCAAGCCGTGTCAAGTCGAAGAGGTTTATCACCAAGGTCATGTTCCTGGCCGCTGTCGCACGGCCGCGATATGATTTCCAGAAGAAATCAATGTTTGATGGCAAGATCGGGATCTGGCCCTTCGTGGTACAGCTGCCGGCCCAGCGAAACAGCAAGAACAGAGTGAAGGGGACGATGCTGACTGTGCCTCAAAGTGTAACGTCGGACGTCTACCGCGCGATGATTTTGGATAACGTCGTGCCAGCCATTAAGGAAAAGATGCCAAGGAACGGCCAGGGCGGTACGATCTATATGCAGCAGGACAATGCGAGTCCCCACAATGGTGTGACTTCGAAGATGCTTTTGGAGCGAGGTGTACAAGGAATTGTCACTATCAACCAGCCACCCCCCGAGTGAGCCCAATCAGCCGGATAACGCGAGAAGGCAATATTAAGTTAGGAATAATATCCGGTTAAAATTCTAATAAACATCCATTGACAGTGAGCTATCCCCCCCCGAGGGATGGCGAGTTGGGATGCGGTGGAGATGCTCTAACTGAACATTTTGGGGGTACAATTCCCTCATTAATTTGAATTTCCGACTTGCTAAATCGCTCTAATTTGAATTTCCGACTTGCTAAAACGCTCTATTATTAAAACAGTTCCACTGTTGTTTTGACCCGAAATAGTGTTTCAATGAGGTTTATATGGAACTTTGTATGATCAGACCACCTCAGGGGGTGTTGGTTGTTTTACAGTGTTTTCACGATCCGGTAATTAACCGAACCGCGGGTCCTCTTCATCCGGATATCCCTTCTTTTCAGGTGTCGCGTGACGGTTTTTGAATTCGTCGAAAAGAATGGCGGGACCCGGATTCGAACCGGGGACCTTTGGGTTAAAAGACTGACGCTCTACCAACTGAGC